CCCGAGGCCGCCCGGCCCCCAGGCCCCGGGCCCTGACACCCCTGCCGGGCCTCAGAGGAAAACGACCCCAGACCTCTCCGCCCACAGACCCCGGGATCCCTTCAACCTACAGACCCCCAAGACCCCTCTGCTCACAGACCCCAAGAGCCTTTCAACCCACCGACCCCGGGACCCTTCAACCGCAGACCCCTAAAATCCCTCAGTCCACAGACCCTTTCAACCCTCGGTCTCTGGGGACCCCTCTGCCCACAGACTCCAGGGCCCTTTCAACGCACAGACCCAAGACCCCGCAGCCCACAGACCCCAAGACCCTTTCAATCCACAGTCTCCAAGAACCCCCTCAAGCTCACAGATTCTGAAGACACCCACAGACCTGTGATCCCTTCTTCCAGGCCTGGCCAGCCCCAATACACCCCACAAGATGAGCTCCAAGATCCCCTGCAGCACACAGATCCCACCCCTCCACTGGGACCCCATGACACCTCAGCTCACAGACCTCTGGGACCCCATAGATCCCAACAAACCTGGGGGCCTGTCCCCGGCCCGCCAAAGATCATGAGTGCCGAGGCCCCAACCCTTCCTTTCCTCAGACTAGGGGCCCCATCAACGTAGAGACCACGGCTCTTGATCCAGCAACTCAGACCCCCTGGCTTTTGTCAACCTAAACCCCCCAGCACCCCCCTCACCCTGCCCATAATTCTCTGCCCTGTGACCCTTGTGGGTCCAGAGAAGCCAGAACCTCACTCCTGGCCACTCACCCTCCCAGCCCAGTTCTAAACTTTCCGGCCTCTCAGGTCCCTGGTGTCTCTCCCCAAAACACACCCTCTATGCTTCACCTTCATTCCCCATCCCCTGTTAATAGTCCAACCCTTACCCCACTTGTAGCCCAGACTATCCTGGGATCCTCTGTTCCCTCAGCCCTAAAATCTGCCATGACAGTCCCCTTAGGGCCTCGGGCTCTGTCTCAAATCCGCTCACACTTTGAGTGCTCAGCCTTCTACTTGGCCCACTGAACTCACTGATCTTCATATAAATATATTCCTGATACATCCCTCAGTCTCCACATTCATTTTTTAAAGATTTTCTTTTATGCATACAGAGAACTGAGATACAGGCCAGAGGTGCAGGGTAGGGGGGGTGAGAGGAGCCACCAGAGACAGGGTGGGGAGCAGAACAGGCCGACTGA